GGCCAAGACAAGTAACTTTGTACAGACCAAAGGTCACCTTTATGTTATTTGATATGGTAACATGAGTGCACGTGAGCTGCATTGTTGTAACTACTGTATTGTTAGCCAGGCATGGGTGAAAGGTCAGTATAATGAAAATAATCAATATATACATATATAAATTTCGTCTAAACATTTATGTTTTCGTGTTAAAATTTGTGTTCATTCAAGAATGCAAGAGGCATAATTTATGTTTATTTCCTAATTTTGTATTGTGGTTGCGAGATTGTTCAAATCTACTGAACCCGTACAGAGATTACTTACTGAAAATAACAGATAAAATATAAAGCTTTTACTTAAGAAATATTTGATAACTATCCAGACATTACAAAGATTTTGCATGGGAAATTTCAAAATTTTCTGATGCATAAAAGTATTTTTAATCTTATAATTAACATTACTTTGCATGATAGATAGGTCACATGTGAAAAGAAAAAATATCTGAGAAAAACATTGCTTTACAATCCTTAAGACGTAATAAAAAAATTAGATATTTTGCGTATGAAAGCATTGTAATGTTTACTGATAATCTGTCAAATTTTGTTAGCATTCGCTTACTAATTTCAAAGTTATAGTACGAAAACTATAATAAGCACAAAATGGCTACGAGGTCAGTCCCAGTTACCAAGCCCGGGCTGAAAAAGTCACAAATGAGAGGTGAAAATTATGAGTTACATTATAAGTGGGTTTTTTTTGTTTTTTTTTAATAAAACGTGGAATTAAAATATGAAACACTATAATTTGACCACTTCTGAGACAGTAACTCGTCTCCACATACAGAATAGCTGTCTTCCTTGTGCATCTGCCTATGAGATTTGCATGCCACTAGTCTTGAGGCAACTCCAACCTAAGTTAATATGTTTTAACAGGAACTGTGCTGCTTCATGATGATTTCATCATGTGACAAAAGCTCTTCACCAGTAGGAGGGCGACACAACCTCCATGCCCAGTAACTCCATCCTATGCACTTGCACTCTTCATTCTTCTCCTTGGTATTGTATTGAACAGGCATGTTTAAAATTTCTTGTCTGAGTTAAATTTGATGAGATTTACATTTGTTAATGAAACTTTAATTTTCATTGGCTTTTATTTCGAAAGGTTTAATTTTTATAATGAATTCTCAAAGGATGGTGAATTATACTTAATCCTGTGTGAGTGATGATATTGCACACTCACAGGCCATATTTTTACTATGGCTTCTGGTGGCTCGTTAACTGTCAAGGATGTTGCAGCCATTGTTCAGTATGTTGTTGATTACCACATGCTTACTGAGCCTCCTACTCCCCTCCCATTGATCAAAGTTCTTTCTCCTCTGTCAGGAATGATCTATTGGACTATGAATTTAATCTGGTTTGCTTTTGTTGGTACCTTACCATTCAAGAAATTTCCTAAACCTTCCAATCTCTAAATTTCATTTACATGTATGTTCCTTTTTTTGTATTTGTCCTCTGTCCTTTATAGTTTCTCATTTTTCACTTAATAATCTCAATTCTTGGTATCACCATCTCTTTCTTCCATGCTTGTTGTGAAGGATTATGCTGTTTCTTTTCTCTAATAGCTCCTCTCTCCTTTGTATTTATTTGGCCTGCTTGTAGATTGAGGCCCTTGCCTTCTGTTTTGTTTTCTGCTTCCCCATTTTCATAGTTTTGCCTTTTTTCTAACTATCCTCTTGTATTCCCTCTGCTATCTCCACTTTTTGTATGAGGCACTTCTTTGTACTCCAGATGGGTTTTCTGTAGAAGTTCATTCCCTTCTCTTTGACAATTTAGCCTATTCTACTTCTTCTGCTCTATCCTTCCTTACTTTATTCCCATGATGGTGGGCTTTGTTGGATCAGGTTATGTTCCTCTTTTCTCTACTCCTTCCTCCTCCTTGTGTACATGGTCTTCATGTCTTCAGTGGTGTTCCTTTCTTTCTCTGGTGTCCTGGACTGACTTTATATGACTTCAGTCTTCGTTATCTTCTCAGTTTTACTTCTTTCTCAACTTTTATTCCTGTTCATCATCTGGATCAGTGTACCCCTAAACTTTCCATTCCATGTTCCAGGCTTTCCTTCTTTTTCTCATCCTACCTCTACCAGAAATCTTGTTCATTACTTTTCTTGTCAGTGATTATTATGTCATGTCCAACCATGTGGGTACCCATTTCTTCCTCTTTTTCCTGCTGTTGGTCTCATTTTTGACCAACAATCTCTTGCATTTTTCCACCATGGTCTCTCTCCTTGCCTCTCTTCTCTTCTTTTCTCAATTCTTTTTTCCACTTTCCAACCCCATCTATTGTCTTTTTCACCTGGTCTATGGTTGGCCATGGTCAATATATTGGACATCTTCCTACACATCACTCTTGACCTGTCCTCCAAATGTTTTCTATATTCCAATCATTAATTGTATGCCTTCCCTTTCCTCGCTCATCCCTGTGACCTCATTTCAGCCTCTTTTGTATTCATTGGTATTTTGGGGGAGGGGCCTTCACTAGACAGCCCATTCTTGGATGGTTTTCTCTTCTCCCACCTCACTTCTTTTACAGGATACAACTTGGTTGGGATAACATTTCAAGACATCTAAATCCTTTCTCACACCCACTTAATATTTGATACTTCTGGGTGTTTTCATCTCTTGTCTCATCCGTGTTCAGCCTTCTTCTCTTTGCCTGCAATTTAAGTTGTATCTGGTTACCAGGATTTGCACTTTTCGTTCTCTTCCTGCATAAGAGGTTCTTTCACTTTTGGTGACTCTGGCTTCCCTGGAACCCCACATTCTTTTGGGGCATGCATACATATGCCTCCTCCAGTAGACCATGTGGGCCTAAGGGTTTCTTTCTTGGGTATCATTGTTTTCACTTGTGAGCCTCCCTTCTCCTCAAGGAGTTTCATGGTAACTGGACCATGCCATACTACTTCAAATATTCCTTTACCAACTCCCATAACAGATCTATCTCTTCACTAATGCTTTCCTTTCTGATTGAGGGACATATCTGGACAAGGGCATGACTTCTGTCACTTTGACACAAGACGAGTGCTCATTCCATTACATTGTGCTTGAACTTTTTACTGTTCATTGGGCATGATCCATGGTTATGATCCACTCCATCAGTTTCATGGTAATTTCTTACACCAAACATCCAAAAGTCATCCATTTCAGGATCCTTTGCATCTAGGCATTGGACATACTATTTTGGGCCCATTCACAAAAGATTTATCTTGTTGCCTTTTACTTGCTGATAGCTAAGAACTTGGTGGCAGAAAGCCTCTCTTGGCCAGTCCCATTTTATCAGTGTAGTTTTCTTTACACCCCCAGGTTTTTGCTGGGTTTGTTCTTTGTTAGGCACACACCCCATAAATGCCTTTGCCACCCCTTTCAACTCTGGGTTTCCTCTTGCTGGTCCGATGTTCCTCATTTTTTGGCTCTGGCTGTTGATGCTGTCAGCCAGCTCATCTCTTTCTATATGCCTGTTTCCCTCTATGCCGCTTCCCTTGGGTTCTCATCTTGATATAAGACAGTCCTGTTGTTGGCATCTCTTTGGTCAGCTCAGCTTTGGTTTTTTGTGTTTCTTTGCTTTGCCTCCTGACCCCTCCCTTCCTTTACCCAATATCCCCTCTCTCTTGCTTCACCCTCACATGACCTTTTATCTTTGAAGGATATCTTTTCTCCATCTTCATGTGTGAGAATTATCCTATCTATTGCACATCAGGCCAGGCCCTTTGATTATGTGGAATTTTTCTTTTCACATTCCTGTTGCCCATCCACTGTATTTGTCTATCAATGAAAGTGGCAGATCTTTCATTATTGGGATATCCACCACCCCTTTACTCCTGACTCTCATACTGTGAGCTACCTTTCTGTCTTTTTTACCTGGCTGTTTGCCCATGATTTATTGGCCTCCTCTTTTACTGGTTATCAGATGGCCTTATCCATGGTCTTTCTCCTTTCCCAGTACCAAAGTGTGATTTTTATCCTGTTCTCTCTATTCTGTTCCACTTCTTCATTCTTTTCTGACCTCCTCACCTGACACCCATGCCTCACTGACACCTTAGTTGGGTTTTGCATGCCCTCTTGTGCACTCTGTTTGATCCATTGGCTTCTTGCTTTTTGTACTATCTTTCTCTCATGACTTATTTCTTTCTCCTTCTTGCCCATGATTACCATCAATCGGATGTCTATGCTATGGATGCTTCTTGCACTCCCTTCTACCTCATTTATATGCTCCTCTTCTTGGACCGCTTGGGAGGTTAACGATATTTTTTTCTCCTACGCTTATCTCATGTATTTGAATCGTCCCTGGGACCTCTATTTTACTCTTACTTGATGGGTCATCAACTCCTCCAGTTGATATGTTAATCTTTTCATATCATTTCTCACAGGCTATTTCACATTTCTTTGCATCTGATTTTTTACCTTTCTCATTCTCTTGTATCTCATCTTTGCTTGTCCTAGGACGAAATCATCCAGACAGATGTGTGGATGGATGACACTCTACGCATTTGTCTCTCCTTAACTGTACCTTTTCCATGGACTATCATGGAAAACTAGCACCAGGGGTGTGTTCTGTTCACTTCATTGGCTTGTGCTTGCTAGCTTTTAAAAATAGGGTTTTGCAGTGACCCATTGCACTGTCTCCAGTAAAATATCTTTCTGACTATAGGTCTGATTGGGATCCAAGCACTTCTTTGAGTCTTCCCAATGCAAATTCTCCCCCCCCCCCTTTTTTCTTCAAGTGAAACTCAGGAAATCCTTACCACTTACAAGTTCCTAGCCACTGGGGTGGTGGACCATGGAGATTCCTCACCAGTTGGGATAGCACAATATGATGAGAAGTGAGGCAATGGTGACACTGTCAGTGTAATGCAGGTCACTCTTTATACAACATAACATATTTTTGTGCCCTCCTCCTGCAGCTAGAGCCTGTTCATTAGAGTCAATGAGCACACAGCATACAGGCAACATGATACGTAATTTATGTGCTCTCCTCCTGCAGCCACAGTCTTTTCAGTAGAGTTAAGATGAGCACACAAGATATGGTCTGAACATACCCCAACCACACTACTCATATTAGATATTTGACTGCTTGTGTGAAGAGGTGACTTATCGTCTTGGAAATGTATTTCCAATAAGTGCATGTGCATTGTAAAAGTTAATATGCATAGAGGTTGTGTCACCCTTTTTTTGGTGGAGGCTTTTTCACACGATGATGCTATCATGAATCAGCACAGTTCATGTTAAAATGTGAAATTAGGTGGGAGTTGTCTCAAGACTAGTGGTATGCAAATCTCAATAATAGACATGCAAGGAAGATAGCTATTTTATGTGAGGAAGTATCTATTGGAAATACATTTTCAGGTAAAGGAAATGTAAACTTTTGAAAGTTAGACCTCTCTTCATCAGCATAAGTACCAACATAAAGGAATGTTAGAATACAAAATTATTCTATTTATTTATGTGTTATTAAAATGTAGAGCATGTAATTCATAATAGTTTTACCATAATTAGGTCTCAAAGAATTATGTGGTTCCAATTATCCAAATGACCCTATTAATGTATGATTCTGTAAGTTTTTGACATGATGGCAATAACTATACAGGATAATACAGTGCATAATATATATACTGTTTCATATATAGTCATGTTAATTCAGTTAGTCATAGTAAATATCTTATGGCTAATGAACTTAACAAATTTTAGATGCATCATAAACTTTGTTTAAAGTGTGAAGTAGAAGAGACTTATACTTTATAATAATCATTTTAAAATATTCTAATATTGTTTAAACAATTGTTTTATTTTAAAACTACTTAAATCCTTCACTTGTATATCTGCCACATATGTAGTAAGGAAGTATAACAGCAGAATTGAGATTTATTTTTGGATTAAAAAAAATGAATCTTTCTCACACAATACAAATGCATAGTAAAGAAGAGTATTTGGAAAATTATTTATTGTAAAATATTCAAGACTTTCAGGTCTTTTTAAAGAAAGTTTTAGATAGTATGTTGGCATATTTCATATGGACTGCTCTTGCCTTCTGTGTAGTTTAAAGATGATGTTTCAAACTCTGTACTGAATTATTTTTCAGGTCTCCAAAACTGGGCAGAAGCCAGAAGCAGTCCATGTTAACTAATAAAACAAGATATTCAAGTGTTGGACATCTTGATTTCATTAAAGCTAGAGTGCAGTTGTAAACCTAAGAACTAATATTACACAGAAACTGTATATTTTGAGACAATGCCTCACCTCTTCTCACAGAAAAGCTTGATCCCTCGCTACTCTACTTATGAGAGTTGCATACCACTAACCTTGAGAACTCTCATCTAAAAAATTACTTTTACTGTGAACCGTGCCAGGACATGATGACATCCTCGTTTAACAATAGTCCTCCATCGATACATAGCAGTGCCCCTAAGCACCTGAAATAGCTTCATTCTTTTCCTCAGCATTCTTTAGAGTGGATGTTTTTTTAAAACTATTAATCAGTGACGTGCGAGTTGTGATAGTTTACAAAACTTTTATTTCATCTAAGTTTCACTGGTTTCCTTTATTACAAATAAAAAAAAGAAAAACTTTTCCTGCTTACCCATTATGAAAGTTCGAGTGAGGGTAACTTCCACTTCATCCCATGATAGTGATGATGTTTCTAATATTGGACCCGTGTCTGTTGTGGTTACTGAGGGCTTGTTGTCTGTGGAGGCCTTGATAGCCATTGTTCAATGTATTGTGGATACCTTCATGCACACTGGACCTCCTCCTCCTGTACATTTGGCCAATATTTGTACTCCCCAGTTTGAATATGGTCAGGATGATTTGACTGGCCCTCTCCCCTACAAGGGTTTGCTCTCAGCACAGCTTTTTCTGTGGAGGAAAATCATCACCTTTCTAATCTCATATTTGACTTGATTTTGCAGGTATGCTGTTTTCATTCTTTTTCCCCCTTTGTATTTTGCTGCATGAAATCAATACTCAAGACTACTTTGTTTTTCCTCTCTCAACACACATTTTGGATCATTGCATACTTGTTTCTCAAACAACAGTACACCTGTATTACCATATCTCATTCTCCTAATCTACTTGACTTTTTTCCTTGCCTACAGCTGTTCTTCATTTTTATTCCTTGATTCCCAATCTTTGCAATCTCTTTTACTGCTTGTGAGAGGTGGACCACTTAATTTCTACTTCCTTTTCTAGTGGCCAATTTTTGCACCTTTATTTCTTTGTAACCATCTTTCTGCTTTACCTCTCATCATTTCACTTTATGTCTGAGATACTTCAACAATCTGGGGGAGGGTTTTCTGGTAAGGTTTGTTCTTTTTTTTTTCACTACTTTGGCTTGTACTATTACTTCTTCTCTATCCCTCATTACTTGGTTCTTTTGTTGTTGGAGCTTGTTAGGATGGGATGCTCACCTAACTAATGTATGCCTACCTTCCACTTTTCTCTATGTTCTTTGTCAAGCTCCATTTCATTGTCCAGATGTCTTCAGGGATGTTCCTGACTCACTAGAGACTCAGATTGAGACAATCTGGCATCAATCCTCATTGTTTACTGTTGTTTCTCTTTTTTCTCAATCTTGCCATTCTGTTACTGTTTCTAGGCCTTCTGAATCCACGTCTTCCCTTCCCATCACAGCTTCCTGGCCTTCTTATACTTCTCATTTTCCCTTTTCCCAATATCATGGTCGTTGTTTGTCTTGTCAGTGACTATTCTGTCAGATCTGGTCCTGTAGGTTCTGTCTCTCTCTCTCTTTGCCAGCCTTTGGTTTCCATTTTTGTCTGATAGGTTCCTGCTCACAGCCTATTTCTTCATTTCTCTTCACCTTCTCCCCTTTTCTATTTCCTTTCATCTACTTGTGATCCCCAAGAAGACTGGAAACTGACATACAGTTATTGACTTGTCATGTTTCAACCAGTTTCTTATCATCTCTTGGTTCCATATGGAGAGTTTCTTTTCTCTTTGGTGATTTTTCACTCAGACTGTGGATGACCAAGGTGAATGTCTTGGAAACTTTTTTACATATTCTGATTGCCCTGTCTTTCAGATGTTTTATTTGCTTCATCCATTTGGATTAGATCTTTCAGTAGTGTGTTCTTCCTTTTGGCATTATGCCTTTTCCTTATCTGTTTAATTGAGTTATGGTAACATTTGCCCACCTTGTTCACGGATTGAGCCTGAGGTTCCATTACTGCATGGATGACTGGCTTCTCCTCTCCTCAAGAATATTCCTTTTCTTATACTTGCATTTTTCTGCAAGAGGCTTCTTGGCTGGGATAGCTTGTCAAGCCTTCGATGTCTTTTCTCATGACCACCCTGTAGTTGATATATCTGGGCATGTTCTTCATCTCCCATCTCAGTCAAATTTAGCTTTCACCACTTTACTTATTAACAATGGAATGTCTTGTCACCAAAGTTTTTGCTTTTATTTTACACCCTGCACATAAGGTTATTTTTCTATTGGGAACTTTGGCTTCCCTTGCACAACTCATGCATTTAGGTCACACACTCATGGTTCTTCCAATGGAAATTGTGGGACCAGTGAAACCTTTCTTGTGATCGTGATCCATTTTCCTCAATTGTGCACCTTCCTTCTCCTCTTCTTGAGGATATTTCTTGGCAGTTCAACCATGGTGAGCATCCCCTTGCTTCTACTCAACCATATTTTCATCTCTTCATAGATTCTTCTCTGTTGGGCTGGGAGGGGCCTCTCTGAACAACCACATGAACATCCTTGAACTTCTTGCCATCTGTTGGGCTACTTCCCACTGTGTTCATGTCATGGCTAGTCATATGCCAGGGTTTCTGAATTTGGTGGAAGATTTCCTCTCTCAGCTGGACAGTGCTCTAACTAAAGAATAACCTATCCACTCGCATTTTTTCGTTGGGTTTGCTCTCTATTGGGCATGCCTCTCATCAATGCCTTTGTTACTATCAATACCAAAAATTCATCCGTCTCTGTGACACTAGGGGCTCTTTGACTCCCCCCCCCTGTTTTCTTGGAGGCAAAATGACATGCAGTCTTCCACAGGTATGCTCCTTCAATTGCATATCACAATCCATGGGCTTGCCCTTTAGGTGCTTTCTGAAGCAAGCTCATCTAGGTTTAGTGTTTGCACTGTTCCCTTCATTATTTCAATGTGGGATTCTAGCTGTTCTGTGTGAGGAGGTGAGGTACCATATCAGCAGTTGACATTTTCCTTACTGAAAATATATTGCTGATAGATATTCAACTCATCACACCTTCCCACCTATCCTCTCCACTTCCAGTGCACTTTCTTCTTGCATCATCTGAGAATGAAGTTATTTTGAATGCAATTGCTTGCAGATAGTTGCTGCGCAAGGAGGTTGTGTTGCCATCCCATTAGTGGAGGGCTATTGTCACATGACAATGTCATCACGCACTAATGCAGTTCACATTAAACATAATTTTTAGGTGGAAAGTTGCTCAAGGCTAGTGGCTTGCAAGTCTTATAGACAGATGGGTGAGGGATCAAGCTAGTTAATATGCAGAGGTGACTATCTATCGGAAATACATTTTGAGGTATGGAAAATGTTCACTTTGCAAATGATAATTTTACTGTAAGTAGATGCTAACAATTTGACAATAATTTATATTAACAAAACATCTTAGATAAATATTATTCACAAATTATGTATAGTCCTATAAATATAAAGGATATTGAAAAATTTAATCACAACTATATTCCATTAGCCACTTACTAATGATTAGTGAAACTTGCAAGTAGTGATGATATACATAATATGACTTGCCATGGGAATGAAAACTTTTCATTTACTTATCCACAACTTAAAAATTATTGCTGGGAGGCAAATAAATAAATTAATGTAATATTCATTCTGGTAGATGCAGAAAACATATATAATTAAGTGAAACGTGAAAAAGATATTTAAAAACTCTCTGTTTAAGTAATCTTTCAATTTGATGTCAAATGGCACTAGTATAAGAGTGCAAGTGATGTTGCTTATACAGAAATACCATATACTATCATCTGAGTAATACTCAAGACTGTAAGCACACTCGTGAGTCAACTGCAATTGAGTAAGTCAAAAGAGAAGTTCAAGACTATATTTTAACTTGTGTGTGCAAAACTGAACTTAAAAGTACCTGGATTACTAATTACTTTGATGAACTTTTATTTTGCGTCTCCCTTACCTTCCCACACTAATATTTATATATATTTATTTTGTGTTTCTTATCTGGTAGTTATCAAGAAAATCCTTAAACACAAGAATATCAAACTATTAAGGCATGGTTTTCATGGTGGTTCCAATTATTCTGTGCTGCTCAATATTAAACATTAATATGTTTTTATGTTTCCTTTTAGCAGTATATGGTTAAATCTCACCATGACAAGGTTATCACCATTCTGTTTAGCAAACAAATCCCCACTTAGGCTTTCCAGCTATATATTTTGGAGGCCCAGTTTGACCTGAAAGGCTAGAAGCTTGTGAAACTGTTAAAGTTGACATCTTTGTATATAATATTCACCTCAACATATATTAATGATAGAGATAATAAATTGATTCACCATATGATTATTGCAGTGTTCCTCAAACCATGGAACGTACAAGCAAAAAAAAAAAAAAAAAAAAAAAATTAGGAAACAGGTGCTGTCAGCCAGAATAGCTTTACCATAGCAAAGGCAGGGAAATATTTTCATTACTTGGATAATTCAAATAACCTAAAATAGTAATAATCAGAAACACCAATTCTGATTAATTGACTGTTCCATTTGATTACTGTTCATATCTCTGATTACTGGATTTATTTAGTTGTGATATTAATTTGTGGTTTATTTTGCTTGCTGTTTGTACTTGTTGTATAATTTGAATATGTTTGTTAAAAAATTCTCATTTTGATTTCATGTTGGTGTTTATACTCTCTTCATTGTTAACTTTGCTCTTAAACCAGCATTTGAAGATTCTGAAAGTGAAGAAAGTGAAGGAGAGGAAGCTTGGAAGTGTCGGTTGCATTGGTTCTGTTCTTGGAATAGAAACAAACATAGGTATATTGTTCAGTAATTAACTTTAGCATTGTGAATAAATAAGATTCATATAAATATTCATATATCAGTATTCAAAATACATATGGTTTGCTTTTTTTTGGTTAAATCACTTTGATGTTTTTTTAAATTATTAACTTCTCATCAAAAAACAAATAATATTTCTCAGATTACATTGATTTTTTAATTTTTTTGCAAATTTCATTACAATTATTCAGTGAAGTTTGATTACTCATACCCTGAAGATGCTAATTGAATTTTGGAATAATTGACCAACCAGTAAATTTATGTTACAAACCAAGCTTAGTTTAGTTTAGAAATAAACCAATGAAAGGCAGAGAAATGGAGGAAAAATGTAAGAAAAAAAGAAATATAAAATTATGTTGTTGTAGAAGTCTGCTGATGTTAGGCCAATTTTATTCCAAGGTAAA